CCTCTCCATGGGACACCCAGCTGGGAAATGTTGGAGCTGGGCATGAGATCTTTCCGCAGGGCCTTTCTGTGCAGTGCAGCTGTCGCAGCGGCGGCAGTAGTCCTCCACATCCCGCCTATGTTGGCCCCAGTAAAACCCCTGGCGGAGGCGGCGGAGGGTCTTAGTAACCCCGAAATGACCAGATCCTGGAGCTCCATGCATCGCCTGGAGCACTGTCTCTCTCAGAGCCCTGGGTACCACCACCTGTCACTGCGTCTCTCCCATCGCTGGCTCTTTCCACCCCCTCTGCAGCACACCATCCTGCAGGCGCAGGGCTTGAAACATTGACCAGAGTCCTTTTGTGGCTCGAGAACACAAGGCAAACTCTCCCCAAGCTGGTCGCTGCCGGGCTCCCACCCAAGTGAGCACTGGCCTTATGTCGACATCCTCTTCCTGTCTGCACCCCCACTCTGTTGCGTCCACAGCTGTTAGTCCGTGGCCTGCTGGCGTGCCCTCCGGTCCCACTGCAGTACATTTCATATCAGGTTGCAGCCTCTCTTCTTCCTGCGCCTCTCTTTTCTCACAGTAGCTGCAGCCATCAGTGCTGCAGGGACGGCGTGAAAGTGCGTCTATGTTTCCGTGGCGTGCCCCTGGTCTGTGGACCACAGTAAAATCATACGCCTGCAGCTCCTCAATCCAGCATGCCATCTGACCTTCTGGCTCTCTGAAAGACATGAGCCACTGTAAGGCAGAGTGGTCGGTCCTGACTGTGAAATGGAGGCCCCCAAGGTAATATTTGAAATATCGGATAGCACTGACCACAGCAAGCAGCTCCCGCCTTGTGACACAGTAGCGACATTCAGCCTTGTTGAACTGTCTGCTGTGATAAGCCACCACTCTCTCTCCTTCGGGAGTCACTTGGGCTAGCCCAGCACCTGCCCCTGCATTACTGGCATCTGTGTCGGGGATAAAAGGCAGAGTGGGGTCAGGCAGTGAGAGGATTGGGGCCTCCACAAGGGCTTTCTGCAGTGAAGAGAAAGCTGCATGACACTCCTCTGTCCAATCAAACACCACCCTTTTTTTGTAGTAGGTGGAACAGAGGTGCAGCTATGCAGGAAAACCCTCTCACAAACTTCCTGTAGTAGAAGGCCAGGCCCAGGAAGCTTTTCAGGTCCTGCACAGTGCAGGGGGTAGGCCAATCCTTCACAGTCTGCACTTTCTCATCCATGGTTCTGACACCACCGCCCCCAAGCTTGTGCCCCAGAAATGTGACCTCTCGTTGCATGAAGGAGCATTTCTGTGGGTGCAGTTTTAGACCTGCTGCTGCCACCCTCTCCAGTACCTGCCTCAGGTCCTTGAGAGACACCTGGAATGACTCGCCATGTACCAGTATGTCGTCCAGGTACACAACATACTCCTGCCGAGGGATAGCAGCGAGTACCCTGTCCATTAATCTCTCAAACGTGGCAAGGGCATTGCAGAGGCCAAACGGAACAACTTTAAACTGCCGCAAACCCCCATTAGTGATGAAGGCAGTTTTGGCCCGAGCTTCAGGGCCTAGGGGGACCTGCCAATACCCGCTTCGCAGGTCCAAAGAGGAGTATCAGGATGACCCTGCCACTGTTTCGAGGGCCTCGTCAATGTGTGGAAGGGGGTAGGGGTCCTTTTTGGTCACTTTGTTGAGGGGTCTGAGGTCCACACAGAAACGCCACTCCTTCTGCTTTTTGGGGACCATGACGACCGGGGCTGTCCAGGGGTTGATGGAAGTCTCAATGATTCCAGCTCACCGCATCCCTTGCAGGGCTTTGTCTGCCGCAGCCTGCCTGGCCAGTGGGAGGCGTCGAGGTCTCATCCTGATCGGCTGTGCATCTCCTGCTTCGTTGTTATGCTGGATGAGATCTGTGCGGCCCACATCGTCCTCCGACAGTGAAAAACAGTCCTTGAACTTAAGTAGAAGCTGCCACAGCAGACTTTGTTCATTAGGAGTCATACCACAGTTTTTCTGCCAGACCTCCGTCACTGCCAAGACCCTTTCACTGTCATCAGGTGGAGAGGTGTTGGTCACCTGTGAACCTGCAGCTGACCAGACAGTGGTTGGAGGTGGGTGCAGCTCAGCAGTTGGCAGGGTGGAGGGCGGCGTAGGTGGCTCGTTTGAAGGCATGCCGCTGGCAGCAGCAGAGTTTATTGTCTCAGCCGTTCGTGTGGTAATGGTGTGGGTTGTGACACAGCCAGGCCGGGATGGCTGTTGCCACATCCGGATGACATGGCCATCAGGAAAAGTGAGAGTTCCTCTCTTTGTGTTTATGACACAGTCTAAAGCCCCGAGAATATCCAGTACCAGTATACAGTCCTCCAGGTTAGCAACCCACACCGGGCAGCGGACAGATTTTCTTCCCAGCCCCAGAGTCACTATTGCTTCCCCAACCATAGGGGCTCGCTCTCCGGTGACTGACTGCAGTTTCACTATCGTGGGGAAAATAATAGTTCCATTTTTCACCACATCGGGCCTCACCAGGGTTGCTGACGAACCCGTGTCCACCACTGCAGAGCAGCATGTCCCTCCAATAGTCAGCGGTGCATACCAACAGTCTCCTATCCAGGTTTGACCCAGCATCACTAGTTGCTCCAGCTGACCATCAAAATCTCCAGGTGGTCGGGGTGCTCCTACTTGGTCGGAGAGTTGCGTAGCTTTGTTATTTAAAGGGGGTCGGGACAGCGTGTCAGGGGTCTGCATCGTCCCGATTATGTGGTCCCTGGCTCGTTTCCCTTGTTCGCAGTGGTACAGGGGCAGTGTTGGACCAGGTGGCCATGCTGCCCACACCCCCAGCAGACTCTTGGTTGTGGCTTTTCCTGCCTCTCATCTCTCAGAGTGGCAGCCCTCACCAGCTGGGTTAGCTCCCCCACCCAGGCAGGCTGCGCCAAGTCCATCTCAGTCTCACCAGCAACTCTCACCTTTGGTGATTTTTCAACCACTTTACCCAAGGCGCCAGCACACAGCATCTCTCTCTCCGTAGCTGACTCCAAAGCCTCCTGGAGCGACCCAGGGTGAGCCAGTAGTGTCTGGATGTGCAGGTCAGCTGGAAGCAGGGCCTGGAGGAAATGGTCCCTTGCTAGCTCGCTCTGGATGGGAGGGGGCATGTGGGTGTAGGTGCGGTGAACAAGCCCCTCAATGTCATTAGCGAGCTCCCTCAGCGGCTCCTCTGGCCGTCGCTGTCTGCTGCACAGTTCAGAGCAGAGCAGGCTAGTGGCAGAGCATTGTCCAAATTGTTGCTTTAGAGCCCCAATTAGTGCATCATAATCACTCCTATCATCAGGACTTAGCAGCAGCAGGCTTGATAAAGCATCACCCTTGAGGCACATCGCTAGCTAGAGAGCTTTTACTGAAGTGGACCATTTACTGGCCTGAGCTATCAGTTCAAATTGTGCATGAAAAGCTTCCCAGTTAGATTTACCGTCATATCTGGGGGTCTTTATTGTGGCCGGAACAGCTTCTCCGTGTGGCTCAGGGTGTTTGGTCATGTCCATTTCTACGTCATTCCTAGTCATTCCTTTACGGCCGCTACATCCACCACCGGCGCGGCCCGACCGACCCAATCCAGCCTCGGCAGCCATCCTCGCGGTCATTTCCTTGACCCGCTCTCTGTGCTCCGTCGTCCGCCAGGCCTCGGCTGCGCCGTCCCATCCTAGTCTGTCACTTTCTTCTTCCCGCTTAAGCTCGAGACGGCTCCCTGACCACATGTTTCTCACCGCTAATGAATGTTAGCCACTTAGCTTATCCGCTGCTAGCCGGTGTGGCGATGTCGATGAATGGCGAAAGTTTTACTTCTGACACCAAATGTAACGACCCTTGGTAAGGAAAGCTACGAGACACTATCTTACTGATTGTGGTTTAGTAGTGGACAGTACACAGGCTACTGTGGGCCATAGCCTACGCCAAACAACAGTCAACACCGTTAGACGTTCTTCAACACGCTTAACCATCTGCTCCCGGTCATAGACTAACTCTCCCAGTTACCAGCACAAACAACAACATCCCACAAGGCATGAGGCCTTCACTGACCTCCGTAAATGCAATAACCAATCTAAGATAACATCTTAGAACAACTTTTCTGCAAACACAATAACACCTAACATGTTAACAGGTTAACATTATATGTCACTCAGTCCGTTACAGTATGTTGGATTGCGCGAGAGGTGCCAGCACAAAACACATAGGATCAGAAATATGAATCCGGCATAAGGAATCCACTGGTACCATCCAAGTCATAATAGTTTGTCCGGAAGGGCTAAATAATGTTCCAAAGTTAGAGTAAATTTTGGCTGGGGAAAGACTGGCATGGCCATTTTTCAATGGGGACACTTGACCTCTTAACTCAAGATACTCAATTATAAATTATAAATTGGGTGTGACTGGAAAGACTCGTTTGGGTTCAATGATCCTAATTGTATGCATGTTTGAGTATGTTAGTCCCCATACTAGCCATTTCACAGAGTGAGACTTTATGTCACTGTATAATGTGACCTATTGTGACCTCTAGGATAATCACAGCCTCAAGAAACTTCACAACCACAAACTAGATACCTAGGTCATTCAGAGGATGTATGACTTCCCATGGTATATTTACAATGAGCGGATTTCTGACCACTTTCCAGTACAGAAGTGCTCTCGATCTAATCACATGAAAATGCAGTTGTTACATAAGTCTCTTAACTGACCTGCAGCAAAAATTGGATTTCTGTGCAGAATTTTGCTAAATGGTTTAAGCTACCACATACAAGCTCAAATTAGCTGGAGACAATGTTCAATGTGATTGGACGATGGGTCTGCCCAATGAAAAGTTTCTGTTCCCGTCAGCCATAAAGCCTGTCTGGTAATCTCCATTGTTGGCTATAGTGAAAGCTGTTTGATTGATGTCAGTTATTTTTGTAAAATCAGACAGGTGGTTACAGTTGGTTATAATCTATAATGTCTTTTCCTCAACTTCTTTTTTGTATTATTTTATCTTGATATTTTGTTGAATATGCCTTTGCAGAATGCTTCAATCAAAGTAACAGAATTTATTATTGGTGGTTTTGAATCAACCAACAGACCTATGTTGGTTGGTGTGGTTATTTTGATTACTTATGTTCTAGCCATTCTAGCCAATATATTAAACATCTTCTTCATTCTTGTTGACAAAAGATTACACAAACCAATGTATCTTCTGATTTGCAACCTTGCTGTTGTTGATATACTGTACGCCTCCAGTACCGGTCCAACAATGATTGGGGTTTTAGTTGCTAGGGTTAATACTATTTCGTATGTGCCTTGCTTAGTTCAAATGTTTGCTGTACACGTGGGAGGGACGATGGAGATGTTAGCTTTATCGGCTATGGCATTTGATCGATTGATTGCTGTTAGCTATCCCTTTCAGTACCACAGTTATTTAACAAATGTGCGTACTTTTGTCATTATATGTATTCTGTGGGTTGTTGCTTGTGCTTTTGTGGCTGTACTGCTTGCAGCCTTGCTTCCTCTCCCTCACTGCTCCTCAAAGCTGCAGTACACTTTCTGTGACTATGCTGCCGTAATACGAACTACTTGTGTTGACCTCACTTACTATTTCAATATGGTTTCCATCATGTTCTTTTTTATTTTTTTTTTCACTTTCATTTTGATTTGCCTGTCATACTTATATATCTTATTTTTTGTGAAATTGTCCTCAAATAATGACAAACGAAAAATGGGCAGCACTTGTTTGAGTCACTTAATGGTGGTAACAGGTTATTACCTTCCATCATTTATCCGTATTGTCTTGACCAGGTTTGGCGTCGTATTACCTCTTGAGGCTAGCCATGGTTTAATGATTGGGACCATCCTCGGACCAACTTTTTTAAATCCTGTGGTGTACTGTTTTAGGACGAAAGAAATTAAATGTAAGATTTTTAACATATTCAAAAAAGTTGAGATTTCTTAGTAGATTCTTATGAACTGTGACTTTACGATAAAAGTTTTATCCTTTTATGGACAAAGTGTTGTGCTAAAATGCTAAAATATATTCATAGTCACATTTTCTAAACTGTTTGCCTGTTAACTGTTTTATGTCAGTGAACTGTATGTCATTGTAGGTGTTCACAAAACGTGAACTGATGTTTGAAATGTATTTAAACTAACATTAGCATAACATGTCACACTATATTTGAGGACAGCTAATCACAAGTCAATCCTCACAGCTGTTGATGAAAAGAAAAGAAAACAACTAAAGACTATTTAGTTGCCTGTCTAGTTAGAAGTGGCGGTTAATATCATAGCTAGGATAAAAATGATCATCCCAGTCTGGACCTGAAGTTGTACGATGTTGATAAATGATTTATCATGGCATGTTTATGTAAGTGATATATATCATGATGTTTTGCATTTTGAAATACTGAATAAATATTTAAGTCTATAATAATATATAATAATATATGATACGTTTTGGCTAATGCAGTATATTATATATATATATATATAAATATATATATCAGTAAAATTTGTGTAAAAAATGCAATCAATTTGATATTGCCATAAAACATTGAAATGACCCACAATTACCCTAAAACAACCAGTTACATTAAAGGGACAATATGAATATATATTTAATATGAAATTTAGTTTTATGCTTTGAATTAATTTTAATACTACAAACTCCTTTCAGTAAAACTTTACTTAAGTGAATTCATGACTGCATATTTTACTAAACTACTTTTGGAAAGACCTACATTTATAATGTTATGGCCCAATCAAGATATTCTAGTTAAGAGTCTCTTTTCGCTTGTAGGTCAAACTTTGAGAAAGCGGTGTTCATTACTCAAGTTTACTGAATTGAAGAGCTGCATGTGGATTCTGGAGCTATTACCAAATCTAACTATTTTTTGCAAGTGGCATCGACTTGAGTGAGATATTTTAGTTCCATTTCCACGGCTAATAAAGTTTAGGTTTTTTTCTCTTTATTTATAAAGTAAAACTTTGAGGCAAACCACTATTTGACTTTCACAAACTCACTTGTCTGTCACTGTTGGACATTTTGCAAAACAAATCAGAAGCTGTTTACTGCATTGTGTA